ATTGTATCTAGACCTGGAACATATAACATGATCAGTTTCTGGCTTCTATGCTCTTTGCATTTGGTACAGTTTAGTCCTGCTATTTAAAACCTGATCGGCATCTGCTGGCTTTGACTAAACATTTATTGTATAAATAAGACACACTTGCTATGACTTGCTCTTAATTTTGATTTTGCATATTTCTTGTAAAACTTTATGACTTGTTTGTTATTCTATAAGAATATTATTATAAACAGCTAAGTTAGATAGAAACTAATGGTGATCAGAGAGGGCTCAGGCACTTGAGGAAGTCAGTGCAGAAAATAAGACACATCAAAACTGAGGCTGGAGGTTAATTTGGAGAGAGCCAGGCCTCAATATGGTGATCATAGACAGGCCTGCAAGCCTCCCTGGAGATGAACAGCAACTTGAGATTGTACTGTAATCAGCGTGACCTGGACCAGTGACCCCAGATAGGAATCAGACCCATAGGTGGGTGACCAAAACATCAGGACTCATTTCATTTGTCCCTTTCTGGAATGCCTTTGTTCTTCCTATGTTAAAAGTTATAGATAAGTAAAGGTTAATGGTCCTTAGCATGTACCCTTGCTATGTGCCTCACTTCCCTATTGGATCAACATTAGCTAAGCCACTATACTTACAATCTTATGAGTTGACTGTAGTTTGATCCACAACTGCCTACATTGTACTCATGCTGTGATACTACAGTGCACTCATGCGTTTGCTGTATGAAATATCCTTGGACAGATTATCTGCAGTAACCCACTTTCAGAACCCCTCCTTTTTCTTAGGAGCTTTTCCTACTCTTAACTTACTTTGTCCTCAAAATCCATTCTTCGATATTGGGAGAGACAAACTTGGCACATCTGAAATCTAACAGGTTGGGAGATATTTTCCCCATCACTGTATGACTTACAACAAACAACCTAAACAATATGTGTAGACTGTAACCTATGTTAAAATGTTCCAATAACCACAATATATATAATAGTTAAGGCTAAGACCTAATGCCCACATTTCAAGATTGGTGTAACTAACTTTCTGGGTATTGAACAACGAAGGCTTAGAGATACACATGCAAACACACATACACACACACAGTAAGAGAACAGCCAGTATTTTGACCCTTGTGCTTCAGGGTCAGCCAGGACCCAAGGCATGATGGAGCCCTCTAAATGAGCCCTGCATCAACCTCTCAAGCACTAACAGGAGGTTGGACCGCAGGGGAAAGGAGTAAGCCCATGTACATTCTACAAAGAGAAGGGTTATTAGAGAGAATATCCTCATGCTTCCAAAAAAAGAAGCCATAATGTCAAGTAAGACCATGATCTATCCCGGCAGATAACACAATTAGTAGAGGAAAACTTTTTCACACAGCTTAAAAGTAACTCCTGAAAAGCCACAAGTGACCTTGCTGAATAGAAAGATAGATAGATAGAGATTTTGATGAGCAAAGGTCAAACTTCAGTATGGTTTTAAACACCCAGCAAGAAGGTACAACCAAAAACTAAAGTAAATAATAGTAATATAAACATAACTAAACTAGGTATAAAAAAGAACTGCAAACAGCACACCAGCTGCTAACAGTCTTCAGCCACACTTGTTATATCTTAACCTACAGGCATAAAAATCTAGACTCCTGCCCCACTAGCTTTTGCAAGATATGCCTTTCAGCCTGTCTTAGTGTATTGTCATTATGTTATTTTGATGTACATTAAAGCATTCCTCTGGGCAAAAAATGTAGCTCCATGTATGTCTGCCTATAGAACGAAAATACCAACATAATATTCTAGTTACTAAATATTATTACTGTCGGTTGGTGTCATCCACACCCAGGAGCCTTTCCTCTTCGCTAAATCCATCACCCACACCAGAACTATATTAAGTGGATTAATCCAGCATCACACACCCGTGATCCAGTCACTCCCAATAGCCCCACCTATGAGCACATAAGGCTTTGGGGGCACAGCTAGGCATAAGACATAACACTTGTCTATTGGCAAATCCTGTTTTACTAACTGCATCAACAGCCCCCTATATGCCTTCTCGCACATCCTTTCATATCCACCTTTTCTTCCTGAATGACTGCTCTGTGGATTTCAGGGTCCAGCACTGGCTATAGAGAGAGCTTTACAGGGGTTTACTCAGCTTCCACAATTGCAGGTGCCAGTTTCTTGTAACACCTCCCACTGATTCCACTAAAACTGGCTGAACCTTGACTGATACAGTTGTGAATTAGGGAGGTGGACGTGACCGTGGGAATAGAGAGAAGGGATGAGTCCTAGATGTGTTGAGATGCAGAAATCAAGTCGTGCTGAACCATCAAACACAGCAGCAAGGAGGAGGGCAACGTAGGGATAACCCAGAGGGCTCAGGCTGGATGGGGGAGTTGTGCTGTCATCCCTGGACTGGAGCAAATGCGAGGCTGGAAGGGGTGGAGACCTGAGTGACAGACTTAACTTTGAAGGGTCCGAGTGGAGATTTATAATCGTGTTGGATAAATGGACCTGAAACTTAAAGGAAATGAGGGGGATCATGGTCAGCCATAGGTGGAGGCGAGCACATGGGAGGGGATGAGCTCCCTCTGGGACAGCAGGTGAGGTGACAGGGTAAGAATGAGGCAGGTCTCTAGGAAAACTACTCTTCAAAGAGAAGCAGGGATTGGGGATTTAGCTCAGTGGCAGTGCACCTGCCTCACAAGCACAAGGCCGTGAGTTAGATCCCCAGTAGTGAAAAACAAAAACAAAAAACAAAGTAAAGAGAAGCAGAGGAAGACGAGCTAAATGGAAGAGTCTGGGGCTGAGGGGCTGCAGGGAAGAAAGCTAGACTCCATGGACAAGGAATGATTGCACTCAAGTAGGAAAGGGATGGCTGGAGGGTGACATGCCATAGAGAATTTGATCAAATGAAGGAATTGAAAATTATCTTCCTTGGCCACATTGACCTATTTCCTGCCATTCTTCTGGCCCAGAATGCTCCCTTTGGCTGTCTCTCCGCCTTCAGACACGGGCATTGGTGCATATATAGGCATGAGGCTGCGTCGCCCTCCGAGCAGGAATGAAGCCAATCCGAGGTAGACATTGCTGAGACCTGCTGTTATCTTCTGAATTCCTGATCTCTCTGAACTTTAGGCATGGCTTGTGCATTTAACTTTTCAGCATGCAAGGCAATAAATAACATTCCTCTCTTTACTTAAGCTCATCTGGATTGTGTGCCTGCCACCTGCCTTGAGACACACTCTTAACACTCCACGTGCTCCCTCACAGCTACATCTGTGTAGCAAGAATGGGAAGTGGATGAATCTCTTGCAGTGCTGGGTAAAAAGCACCTAAGAATCCTTAAGGACTAGAATCTCCACTAAACGTCTCCCCTAGCAGCTGCTCAACTCCTTCCTCTCCTTCCTTCCATTCATTCCTGCCTTTTATCCTAAATATGCTCCATAGTCATCACTTTATATTATATTTCCTCTCTCTTGCCCTCTGAGATCCATCTGTTTTAAAAAGGGGAAGATACCCAACCCCATTTCCTCCTCATGTCCACTGCTGAGTGACCAGGTTCTTCCCCTTGGTATGGGTGCACCTGCCAATGGTCCCCCAAGACCATCCTCATCCCTGTTTCTACTTCTGAAGCATTTGGTACTGTTACAGAAGGAATTGATAAGTGACATGTACAGAGAGATGCAGAATGGAAGTAAAATAATAAAATAATTTTGTTGACAAAAGGCCGATCGCACTCAGAGCAGTGATTGAGCCCCCCACATGGATTACAGCTCCTTTTTTTATAGGGTTTTACAGCCAAGACCTCATTCAGGTGGCTACGTTTCATTCTTTCAGTTCACATTACCAATATACAAATTACTGTCACAAGAGAGTTAACTTTAACCCAGATGTAGTAATTCTTTGTAGTTAAGGAGTTTACCTTTAAAATTCATCTAGCTACCTATTCTAGACTGGGAGAAGGGGGTGTTCCCAGCCAGCAAAGCAAAGTTAACAATGGTTTTTTTTATCTTGACCTTTACAGTCATATGATTTACAAAACTTTGGAGTTCCGGGGTCTTGATGTGGCCTGTTATCTCAGGATGAGGTCAGACATCCCATTTGTGGTTAATGCATCTGGTGTCTGTTAATTTTGAACTAAACAAAGCAGACTGCTGACAGAGACAGAAGCCATTCTACATTGTGACATTTTGTAGGTTTTGCTTTTACAAGAGTCTTCTCAATCAGCATGGCTCCCCCGACCTTTATCTTCTCTAGATGCTCCAACACCCGGTGATCCTCTGAGCACCTGGCCATTCCTTCTGGTTACTGGAATGCTGGCAAAACCTCTAGGCAAGAATGACAGGTGAGTTGTAGTGTGTGATTCAGTGTAGACACTCAATTGGCTGCTTGTCTCAGCCTCTCAAATTCTGTCTGGATCAAAGCAACCTAATGCTGACAAAGGTAGAAATTTTCCCGGCATCCTTCGTGATGGGGACTGTTCATTCCCCTCACTATCTTAGCACTTAGTGTCTACAAGTGTCCATTGGACTCACCTTCACAGTTTCCCTTCTCTAATTGTACCATACACCAGAGCGTTAACTTAGGTCTGTAGAACAGATTGGCTAGAAAGACCAATCCTGCTCCACAAAAACAAGTGAATACAGTACATTCAATAGGTACATTAAACATTATGAATATAGTTAATGTGAAATTCCTGTGTTAATTACCAATCATTCCTAATCCAAGTATTGGGAAAAACCAATAGTTAAAGTGTCTGCATGAAGTTTAGGTGATATTTTCTGTCCCTTATGAATAAAATGAATGGTTTTTTCATAAAGAAATGGTCATGTGCTAAGAGTTGTGAGCAGATCCCACTCTCACTTTTCCCTGTACATGGCAACACAGCAGATTTTTGCTCTCTTCTATTTCCATGAAGATTTGGTGGGCAACATGATTGTTGGGATGAAAGACCACACACAGACAAGCAGACCTGGTATGAAGTAAGCAATAATCACGATAGCATTTTGGTTTAGAGCCTTCTTTATTAAGGAAGGTCCTTCAGGCACTTTATTCACAGGCTGATACAAGCATGGCAAGAGCACCATGGAAAGTCACAGTCCAACTGTGTGGATGAGGTCAACGAGAAGGCAGAGAACACCATGGCAGTGGTTTATCAGCAAAACAATGACAAGCTATTGGCCTCGCGCCTTCCATCATAGGTCTGACTGCTTCTATCCTCCAAGGAAGGAAGGGAAGTTGGGATTCAGGACTTGCTATCACTCTAGACGCATGTGACCCTTGCTCTGACAACAGACAAAGTCCCCACCCACGCCCAGACTCGGACAAAAATGGCGGCTATGTTCTCTGTGCCCAACCTTCTCATCTCTGAGGGGTCTAGGCTAGATCTTGAAGTGTCTGATCCGCCCCGGGCATGGGGGCGGTACTAGGCCAGCACTGCCAGCAACGCCAGGCTGTGCCCCCTTAGGTGGTTTCCTTGGGCTGAACGCTTCTCCTGAGGCTGACTCCACGGAGGCCACACCTGATAAGAAGTGGCGCAGGTCATAGTGTGCCTGGTGTCTTGGGGGTCCCAGGGGAACTCCCGCCACCATGGGTCCCACCACCAAGGCAGCTGCAGGTGGGCCAGCTGCAGGGGGTGCAGGTGCAGCTTGGTCCGCTGCAGGGGCCGGGCTTGCTGGGATGGCGGCATCTGGCTGGGGCTGCACGGCCACAGGCTGGAGAGAAAAACATTTCCCCAGGTTAGTTTGCTTCTCCCTCCCAAAAGAAGCCACCCCCAGGTCTGCATGGTGCCCCCACTCAATTTCCCACAGTAATTCTTTCTATTTGCAAGGGATCTAGCAAAAAAGAACCACAGAGGCACAAGGGATTATCGTTGGAGTTACTAGGGAAGAGTAACTGGTCTGTGGAGACCCCAGTCGTCAAGGATTACCCTAGTGATGGTGGACTCGCATAGCCGTGTCCTCACCTATAACAACTCACCCCATGCAGGCTAACTTTCACTGTGTGCCAGCCACTCATTCAGCCACTCAACTGCCAGGCAGCTCTGCCTACCTCTTCCTGCAGCTCAGAGAACCACTCCCACCTCCCAGGAATCACTGGTGGCCTTGTCAAGTCCACAGCAGGCCTGTTCTGCTCCATAGCCACCAGTGCATGGGAGGGAGATGCCCTGAAACACCCTCCTTGTTCCACGTCCCCCAGTGTTACATTAGGTTCAGAAGGGCAGGAGAGCGAACACCCTGTCGCTACGAATGCACCACGGGGACAGTGAGGGGTCACTGCATTTGGAAGATGCGAGCGAGAGAATCTGTGACACGTGACACCATTACCTGTGTTTGGAACATGGTGCAGGTCACCGCCACCTCCTCCCCACCAAGTTTCTCGGTGAGTGTCGCCTTACAGAAGCCGTGTTTCTGCTCACCAAAAGAGAGGCTTTATTTTAATGGATCTGAAAAATGAATTTCTCCTTTGCTTGCATTGATACAACCATACATCAAGGTAAAGAAACATAAAATTTTAAGCCTTCTAAACGACACCTCCTTTGAGTTTACAGTTTCTGCTTATAAAAGATACATAATATGTAACTCTACGTATACAAAGGAAATACAAAAATGCTAGGGAAAAGAGCAAGATCACACATAATCCCAGAAGTGGTGGTGACCCCGAATACCTAATGCTAATAACATCAATGCCTATCTTTCTTATTTTAAAAATTTATTAAATATAATTTAATTGTTACCATATCATTGGATGTCCTGCTTTTATACTACCTTTAATAGAACAGCATTTTCTCCTACCCTCCACTTACCCGAGTAATTTTCTATTTACTGATGTACCATATATTAGCAGTGATGCCCTCCTGTTGGACACTGGCATCTTTCTCTTTTTGATATTTTATATCTATTGGCCAATGATCTTTATGGATCTATCTCTGTCAAAAATCTCCGATAATTTCCTTAGGCTAAATTCCTACAAGTGGGCCCTGCTGGCTCAAGGACTTGAAAAGTTTTTGTATCCGAGGTATTTCTAGGAAATCTATGCTTCACGTGCCCAGCACCCGGGCATGACTTGGCTTCATCGGACACAGCTCTACCTTTCCCCTGACTCCATGTGCCCGCGGCAGGCGAGATGATTTGGTGACCACTGTTAAAGGGGAAAAGTGAGACCCCAGAGCAAGGTCTGCTGCGACCCAGCCCCAGAGGAAACGGATCTTTTGGAGTGGTATTTTCTTCCCACAGCACAAGGTATAAACTACATAAGGACTCTGCGCTCTACAAGAAGTCCTGCCGGGTAGGCCCCAACCCCTGGCCCGCTCACCTTTTCTGCCAGCAGCTTGCAAGTGGCAGGATCTGTGACCGCTGCAGCGACACAGTCAGTGGCGGCCACTGCGAACTCCACATAGGTGGAAGCTGGGAGAGGCTGACAAGAAAACAGGAACATGAACTCCAGGAAGAGAGGCAAAGGCGGCGGGGAAGCAGCCAGGGCTCCGGCCCCGCACAACTTCGGGGGGTGCCACCCGCCTGGGCCATGGGCCAAGAGATCCCAGCCCTGGTGCAGGCGGGGCGCTGTGCCCCTCTGCGGCGTCCCGTGGAGGCCCTGGGGCTTCGGGTCCTCCTGGGGCCCCGTTGGTTCTCTTTCTGCCAACATCCTCCTGGGCTGGGTACCGCCCTCACCACGTCCACTCCCCAGACCTCGACCCCGGCCCCAGGGCTCCCGTCTGTACCACCAGTTGGCCTCGGGAAATCTCCAGCAGCTTGAAGTAGGAGCCGTTGCTCTGCGCGTTTACGGCGGCCAGGGCAGCCTCGGCGGCGTGCACCACCTTGGTGTTGTTGAGCAGCGCCAGCAGGGGACAGTGGGGGCACACTTTGCGCACGTCCTCCTGGGAGTCTGCGC